GCTTGATTGTCCACGTGGTTGCTCTCAGTTTCGAGTCTCCCATCCTTCCAGGGGTGACCTAAAGCCTGGACTCTAAATCACATAGCTGGTTTTCCTGGCCTGGCTAGTCCCCACCCTAAATCTTACTACTAGACTATCCATCATGACCCAAGATCCCCAGGCAAAGATATTGCTGCCAGGCATTGCATGTTGGAGATTACCTCCCAGGAGTCGAGGACAAAGGCCAGACCTCTTTTGGGTCAAGATTAATTTTTTTTTTAACTGTACAACTTGCCATCATTCTGTTAACCTTCCTTTCTGTTTTATCTTCAAAATAACCCTAATTGGTGGGTAAGGATATTTATTATTAGAAACAAGATGTCAAAAGGAAAGACACTTGAGCAAAGTTGCACAGGTGATCCTTGACTCATGGTACAATACTCTTTCCACTCTCTGAGAACCCTGAGTCCTGAGCAGAAGATGGAAGGAAGGTATGTACATATGTGTGTGCACATGTATGTTTCTGTTTGTAAATGTATGTCTAATAAGTATGTGTAGATATGTGTATGTCTCTGTGTGTGTGTTTGTGTACACATATGGATGTCTGGGTATCTATATTCATGTTTGTGTGTGTGTGTACACATGCTCAGTGGGAAGGTTAAAGAGAAAATCAGCAGGGCTTAGTGGTGCACACCTGTAATGCCAGTTACACAGGAGGCGGACGGGGGAGGATCACTTGAGCCTGGGAGTTTGAGAGAGAGAGAAAATTTCAATAATCTTCTTGCTGTTAGAAGGAAAAACCTGGGGCTGGGCATAAAGAGACATAAAACACAGCATAAAGAGGCAGAGAAATGTCTAATGAAAAACAAGTGACCAATAATTAATCAGTTCATTTATAAAGAAATATAGCACTGGCCGGGTGTGGTGGCTCACGCTTGTAATCTCAGCACTTTGAGAGGCCGAGGGAAGCAGATCACAAGGTCAGGAGATCAAGACCATCCTAGCCAACATGGTGAAACCCTGTCTCTACTAAAATACAAAATATTAGCTGGGTGTGGTGGCATGCCTGTAGTCCCAGCTACTCGGGAGGCTGAGGCAGGGGAATCACTTGAACCCAGAGGTGGAGGTTGCAGTGAGCCAAGATTGCACCACTGCACTCCAGCCTGGCGACAGAGCAAGATGCCGTCTCAAAAAAAAACAAAAAAAACATAAAAACAAAAAAAACAAGGAAATATAGCACTTTAGCAGCAGAATAAAAATGGAAGATAATTTCCTCTAGAACCCTGATAATCTTTGTGAGAAAACTGTTGGTCACATATGTTAATTGCCAAAACTTGCAGGACCCTGTGCAACAGAACTGGCAAGTAAAACCATCTTTCTTAAACTCGTTCTGTTACAAGTGGCATTCAACTATTTCTCAACCAAGATTTCACAGACTTGTCTCCAGCTTCCAGATGGTGAGGGGAAGTGTGATGAGAATTTATGATAAATTGTCCCTGTCTCTGAGTCCATCCTCTCCTATTGAAGAGAAGGAAAGTGAGGCTAGCACATTACAGCCCTGTGTGACAAGTCACGAGATAAGCAAATAATTATTTAAAATCGGAGAGTCCTATAATTTATTCACAAATGCCAGACATTCTATATTAGATCTTCCATTTCAATTTACTTGTATTCTTTGAAGGAAATTTATAAGATTTGTATCATTCAGAAAATACTCCCAAGCTAATAGAAGAAAATATTTTAACTACACGAAGTATCAGGCTATACAATATGGTATGCTGGTGAAGTGTGTAGGCTCTAAAACCAGAAAACACAGGTTCAAGCCCTGGTTCTACCACCTTGAGAAAGTTACGTGGTCTCTCTCTCCCTCAATTTCCCCATCTAAAATGTGGGGATGACAATAATAGTGTCTATCTCACAGAGTTGTTTTGAGGAAAATAATATTTGTAATATATTATTTATTATATTATAAATAAAATAATAAATTGGTTATAATAGTATTTGAACAGCAGTTAGTGGTATGTAAGTGTGTGCTACTGTTATTTTAACATTTCAGATTATAAATATCTACCCTGTTATTCAGATGGCAAGTGTCCCTAAGCTGATAACCTGATGAAGAGCTTTTGTGTTCCTTGGTTTTCTATCAGCTTTGTGAGGAAAAAAATACCACATAAAGAAGAGCAACTGAAGCAGGCATGAGAAGGAAACATGGCTTAAGATTGGGGGACTTGGGTTTATTAGGCTTTCATCTTCTAAAAATTTCCTAAGCCCCATCGATAAGAATATTTTTAATATCAATCTAGCTAAAAAGTACCAATAGACCCCACAAGACACTGAGTTAGACATAGAAATAGAAGGATAATAAATAACTGGGTACAGTGGCTCATACCTGTAATCCCAGCTCTTTGGGAGGCTGGGAAGGGCAGATCACGAGGTCCGAGGTCCGGAGGGTTCGAGACCAGCCGTCAACATGGAAACCCGTGGGTGCCTTAGCGTAAAAATACAAGGAAATTAGCTGGGCCATGCTGGCGGAGCCTGTGAGCATCCAGCTACTCAGGAGCTGAGGCAGGGAGAGATCACTGGAACCCAGGAGGTGGAGTGTTGCAGGGAGCCGAGGGATCATGCCAGTGCACTCCAGCCTGCGATGGAGCCGCGAGCTCCATCTCAAAACGAAAAAGAAAAAAAGAATAAACGAAATATGGAAAACTACACAACCGAGAAAACTAAACAACTACCAGACCAAAACATGGCTAACATCTTTCTCGATAGCATTATGTTTGAAGAAAGAAGCCTAGCACAAACGTGCACATACTGTAGATTCCATTTATATGAACTCGAAAGAACAGGCAAAATTAATCCTATGATGACAGAGGTCAGTATTGGGGTAACTTGAGGGTGTGAGAATAGCAACGAGAGGGAAGAGGGAGTCCTCGTGGTGAGATGGAAGCATCGTATCTGAACTGAAGTGGTCCATGAGTTGCGACATGATGGTAGAAGATATGAAGTTGTAACTTAAAAGGTATAGGCACCTCCACTGTATGTAAGATACTGTCCGCAGTCCCATTTGTGCCTA